GAGACAGTGCGAATGGCACAGGACAGAGCAGAGTTTAGGGCTGTTGTACATAGGGTCGCTATGAGTCGCAAGCGACTCGACGGCACATAACAACATATGAATAGGCATTATATGTATGACAATAATCCAGAATGAGAGGTACACAGCCAAAGTGGGCTGGGGGAGGGGGAAAGAAAGGGAGGAAATTGTGCAACAATTAATGGGGGGGGAAGTAAGTAAACGGGGGGGAGGGTGAGCGGGGAAGAGGAGAGGATAATGTGCAACAATTAATGAATGAAAAATCCAACTTTTCTGTAAGCTTTCGTCAATGTATGAATTTAAATCCAAATTTCCCGTAACTTTCATTAAAATCACAATAAAGAAAAAAAATTAAAAGATAACTTACTAAAATAGGAAAACTTCACGTATCAGAGGATTTTCAACTCATAAAAATTTAAATATATGGAAATGACAGTAAAATAATAACAACATATGCTAAAACTGGAGGGCAAACAAGTTGCTGTGCTATTAAATAATTTTAACACACTAAGTAACTTCACTACATCTTATGACAAATTGAAATGATTTTCAAACTTAATTTTCAATTTAATATTCAGAAAATAGAATATTGGTATCTGAGGATTACATTTGTTCAACTATTTGAAAAAAGGGTTTATTTATTTTTTTAATATTCTTTTATTAATTTTAATGAAAGTTTTATTTATTTAATTTTAATTAAAGTTAAGAGACTTAGGGTTTCCAATCATTCATTGCACTTTCAGCCATCCACCCCTCAAAAGGGTTTCTTTTAAAGAAACTAGCAATGACTCCTGAACTTTAAAACTCAATCAATGTTCATTTTTTATTAATATCCTTTACAACAGAAGCCTTCAATTACTTAGGAGATTCTTACCTGGTTACAACCTGATGCGTGTAAGCTCTATTGGGGCTCCCAAATGATTTTGCCAAGCCAAAATCTGCTAGTTTTAAAACTCCATTTTCATCAAGCAACAAGTTGTTTGGTTTCAGATCCTGTATTATGGAGTTTTACATAAACAAATGAGCAAGCAGTGTGGAAAGAATTCCATTATATCACATTCTAACTTAACAAAAATGAAATATAGAATTTTAAAACAATTAACATACTTTGACTGTTAATGAATAATTCCTCAAAGCCAAGTGTGTTTGGTTGTATTATATACTAAGATTTGGGGTCAAGATACTAATTTTGGTGAAGAAAACCCTCAATGAGATGGACTGGCACAGTTGCTGCAACAAACGGCCTTAAGCACAGAACTGTGAGGATGGCTCAATCTGGGCACAGTGTTATACCGTTACACATAAGGTAGCCATGAGCTAGAGCCCACTGGACAGCTCGAAGAACAACGGTCTGAGTGTGGTGACTTCATCCTGAACAGGACAAGGGCTACTGTGTCTTCTTCCTCTCACTTCCTTCTCCCACCAACAGATTATGCCGTAAGGGTGGAGAAGAGGGAACAACACAGCCAAGTTTAACTACCTCACAAGGCTTGTGAGAATTAAATTTGATACATATATGGTAGTAACCTTGCTCAATAAGCAATAAATAATTTATAGCTACTTAAATATCCACCAAAATTAATGATGAAAGATATTAGCAATAACCTAAAACATGGGATATTTTTTAAGTTTACTGTTTGAGATTACTAAGTATAGACTGGTCTTAGTTATTTAATAAGTATCTTTCAGAACATCTGTCTAGCTGAATTGATTAGCTTTGTTGTAACAGTTGAATGTTTCTAAATTATTCAACCATTTCATAAATTTTATTTCATAATATCATTGAATTTAAAAAGTGCAATAACTATAAATTTAACTTATATATGCTAATAGAGATTCTCACATCATTTTGTTTCAAAACTACAGTTAGACTTCCCCACCAGGGAAGACATAAAGAAAACAAACCACACACACACAAAAACTCCCGAAAGTATTACAAGAATAATGGTTTAAAATAAAAAGACAGGCACAATCCTTGTTATCAAGTGTCTAGCCTTTAAAAAGATGTAATTTTGTCAGGTCACTTAGCAACTTAGTTTTTCATCGATGTGGAAAAAAATAAAATCAAAGATTAGACAGCCAATCTTTAAATTTAAGTTTTACATAGTAATTTGAGTCCTCGCAGCACCATCTGGTAAAACTCAAAAGAAATACACAGAAGACAGTGGGATACACTTGCCCAGATTTATTTTATTGTGTTTAACAATTTATATATTTAGACCACTCACATACTAAACTGGCTTTATAAAACTTGACTACTTATTGTTGTTGTTATGTGCTGTCGACTCAGAGCGAACCTATATACAACAGCCCTAAATCCTGCTCTAAACCCTTGCCAATCTTGTCTCCAACATACCTATCACTATTACGCCAGTGACTGAAACAATCCATCTCATTGAGGGTCTTCCTCTCTTGCACTGTCTCTCCAGCCTCCCAAGCATGACATTCCTCTCCAAGGAATAGTACTTAAGATATTTTAAACCTTACCCTATGTAGAATCCAATGTTGATGTAAATACTCTAATCCTTGAAGAGTCATCAACATATATGCTTTGATGTGTGATGGTGTCAGCACAAGACTATTATCCTTTATTATAACCTAGAGCAAGCATATGACATATGTTTTATTATTCTAAGTAAATGGCATCTGTCTTCTTTGGTCACATTTCTATTAAAATCTACTCAGTTTAAAAATTGGGTTGTATGGTTTGGACTACTAAATTTTCAGAGTTCTTTATATATTCTAGTAACAAGTTCTTTATTAGATAGGGGTTTTTTTCACTACTATTATTATTAATTTTAATGAAAATTTACAGAGACTTTGGACTTCCATTCATTCAATGTTGCACTTTTCTCCCTGCCCACTCCCAGTTCACTCTTCTTTTTGAAAAGTAAAATTCTTTCATTGCCATAAAATCCCTCCCCCCAGGCCCACTCCACTATGCAGCCTCATTCTGGACTCCTGTCAAGACAATAATACCTAATCACATATCCTTTTTAGGCAGTTTTCTCCCTCATCTGTTTTCAATGCAGTATATATCATCCCATCTTTCTCAGTCTCCGCTCAACCCTGATGTCAGTCCTGTTTTCCAACCATGGCACTATGAAGTATTTGTCCTTCTGTGACTGAAATACTGCACTCAGCATAAGGTCCTCTAGGATCACCTATTTTGAATATTTCATGAGTTCCTGGTTTTTCAATATAACGCAGTATTCGATTGTGTGAATCAACATGCCACAGCTTATCTATCATTTTGTTGATGGGAACTTGGGTTGTTTCCAATTCTTTGCTATTGTGAACAATGCCGTGATAAACATGGGTGTGTATATATCTGCTTGGGTGGCGGTTATGGTTTCTTTAGGGTATATTCCCAGTAGTAGAATTGCTGGGTCGAATGGTATTTCTGTTTGCAACTTTTTGAGAGCACCATACTGCCTTCTATAGTGGTTGTACCATTTTACACTCCCACCAATGGTGAATAAGGGTTCCAGTTTCTCCACAACATCTAAAGCATTTGATGTTTGCTGTTCGTTTAATTTTTCTATTCTTACTGGGGTGAGATGATATCTCATAGTTGTTCTGATTTGCATCTCTCTTAGAGCTAGGGATTTTGAACATTTCTTCATGTGTGTGTTTGCCATCTGAATGTCTTTGGTGAAGTGTCTGTTCATATTCTGTGCCCATTTTTCAATGGGATTGCTTATTTTTATCTTGTGCTACTAGATAGGTTTTGAAAATGTTTTAGAGTCCTTTCAGTTTCCGGTTAGAACGGAAATTTGTGTTTTCTCTCATTTTATAGTCAAAGAATTTTGAATTCTTTCAGAAGAATGAACAAGGTTGTTCTTTTCTAGCTCAGTGTTAATGGACTTTGTATTTCTCAAAGAGAAAATTGGTATTATGCACCATTGCATTATTATTACTTTTTTTAAAGTGAACTGGAGGAGCAGGGAGGAAAACATGCAACAATGAATGAATAAAAATGCAAATTTTTGGTAAACTTTCACTAAAATCACACACACACACAGAAATTTGGGTTTCAAAAGAATGACATTACTACGTAATAATATGCAAAGAGATCTTCAAACTCTTAATAGAACTAACACTCATCAATAAAGAAATTCAGAAGATAAAAATAGTAAAGAAATCCAAATCTTGGCATTGTAGTGAAATAATTAAAAGTACTAAAAGAGCTTCTTGACCTCTGGAGTACATCCAGATTTCAACAAAATTAAGCATTCCTTTGACTACCAGTTATCTTCATAAGCAGAAAATTAATAATGAAATTCCTGATAAATAAGGAAGCCCTGGTGATAAGTTTGTTACATTCTGGATGAGTGCCCCAGTCACCCTGTAAAAGATTAGGTAGTCTGTTCCTGTAAAGGCTTAGCATGGGTTTAGTTTTTTTATTAAAAAGAAGAAAGAAATCATGTAGAAATCTTACCTCTAGGTCAGTTTCCATAAAATCAAATACAAGGCTAATATTAGATTTATGTCCAAAAGCATCAAGGAGCTGCAGAGCAAAATTTAAAACACCAGTAATTAAATTATACTTCTGTTATACACTTGCCAGTATCCTACTAACCAAAATAATTTTAAAAAATTATGTTGGAATGTTCCTAAGTTCTTGTAAAGTTTGTCATTTTATTAAGTTGGGTTGGGGTTTTTGTCCTCTTTTTTTTCCCCTTAGGAATTAATATTTTTCTGATAATTAGGATACAAAAATATAAACCCATTTCTTTTAAAACAAAAAAGAAATCAAGTACTTCGCTCCAATAATTTTTGGAGTTATAGTTAAGATATGAATTAATGAAAATATCACCTCCATCTTTAATTCAGAAAAATTTCAAAGCATGGTATATCAGCAGCAGTCAGTCACTACTCTAAGCTATTTAATGTATTAAATCAGTTCCTCCCACAACTCTATGAGGCAAAAGCAGCCCTGGGTGTATAGTGTTGAAAGCATATGGTTGCTAATTAAAAGGTCAACATTTGAATCTGCCAGATGTCACCAGATGCTCTACATGTAAAAGATGGGCAGTCTGCTTCCCTCAAGATTTACAGGCTTGAGCACAATGGCATTAAAAAACTAACACCCACTATCAACAAATTCATTCTCATAGTAACCCTACAGGGCAGAACAGAACTGCCCTATGGACTATCTAAGGCTGTAAAGCTCTCTCAGAGAAGACTTTAACATTTCCCCATGGGTTTAAACTATGGACCTTTCTGTTAACCAATCAGTACTTAATCCACTATACCACTAGGTCTCCTACACAGACTGAGGGGATTTTTGGATTTGAGTTTTGTTCCACATTCAAAAAACGCATTTGCAGACAGACACACTTCTAAGCTATATCCAAAATATTTTTAAAAGCATAAGGTCACAAATTGGATTTTTAAAAATTTAGATCATACTCACACCAATTATATTTGGATGGCTTAGCTCCTGTAATAATTTAATCTCTCTTAAAGCTGTTCTATTTATACCTAAATAAAGACAAAACAAAGAAAAAATTAATTGTCTAGAAATATACCGAAGAACGAAGGGGGGGGGCCAGAAGGCAGGGAGGAAAATGTGCAACAATGAATGAATGAAAATCCAACTTTTCAGTAAACGTACATTAAAATCACAATTAATGGGTGGCGGGGAAGAAAAGTGTAACAATGAATGAATGGAAATCCAAAACCTCTAAATGTTCATTGAAATTAATAAAAAAAAAAAATCACAAAATAAATAAAGTAGGTGAGACCAGGTTTCACCATCTTTGGGGGGGGAGGAAGCAAAGAGAACTTTGCAGAAAATAAGAATATTTTATAAAAAAGAAAAAAAATTAAGAATATTTTGAAAATCGTTTGCTTAAAAAAAATCCTTTCTTTTATATACTGCTTTATTCTTAAAAACAGCTTAATACCACAATTATTGTAACACAATATAGTAAATGGTGAAAAGAATATTTTATTCATAGTATATCAGATCTGAAGACTATTGGTAGTGGTATGTGCCACTGAGTTGATTATGTACAATATCTCTGAACTCTGCTCTATCCAGAGCCAATCTCATTGTGTCTGGCACATCTACCTACCCTCACTACTCTAATTATCATGTCAATCCATCTAATCCTGAGTTTTCCTCTCCTGCGCTGTCCCTCAACCCTTCTAAGCAAGATATCCTTCTCCAAAGACTAGTCCCACTTGGCTACATGCCCAAAGTATGTGAGACAGAGCCTCAAAATCCTTGCCTCCGAGGACCAGCTAGCTTGGTTTCAAGCTATCCAGGACAGACTTGCTTGTTCTCTTGGCAGTACATGATATGTTCAATACTCTTCTCCAGCACCACAACTCAAAGGCATCAATTTCTTTTTAACTAAAAAGCATTTATTTTTAACTAAGACTTATTTTAAGGACTTAATTAAACTCTGTTACCCACCCACCTTACATACATTGCAGAAGAGTTAATACAGTGGATGTTATAAAGTAGGTATGAACATCTTAAGGAATGTGAACCAACATTAACTGACAGAGAACAACTTCCTTTTAAGTCATCATAAAAACGTTTAAGAAAGGGGAAAAGGAGCAACAAGGGTTTCATATTAAACAAATCTCATGGTTAGAGTGTAACACAACGGAAACAGGACTGTAATACAAAACTCCCACTGAGCACACTGTACACAACCGTGTTCCAAGCACATCCCATCCCCTAATGCTTCCAACTCAACTACTTCCCAGCCTGTCCGGCTTGCCCACAAAGCAACACATAGATCTCCTTGATCCACTCTTGGTTATAAGGGTGATTATGTCTGGTATCAGCTCAGTAAACAAGAAACAGGTCTGTCAGATCATCAATAAAATCAAACAACTGATATCATATGTGACTAAAGGACTGTTGGGATTTATTCTCTTCAGATGTTCTTCATATATTTTACAAACTCCTTCCATGCATTCATTCAGATTCATAGTCTGCATAAGTTCTGCCATCTGACCTCTTGGTAGGCTGTCCCAACAAAATAGTGAGAGACAGCATGCCAACAGTAGCTGCAGCCACTGCCGATCCCACCACCGCACACAAGCCAAGCCTGGTATCAATTCTTCTTCTGTCATTCTTGGTCACTATTCAGCTCTCTGCTGCATAACAAGTCACTGTGAAGACCATGGCCTGGATTAGGTGCACCCTGGTCTCTAGACTGACATCCTAGCTCACTAGCACTCAGGAGAGGTCTCTGACAGTAGATTTTCGTAATGCAATTTGTCTTTGATTCCCTGTTGGTGCCAAAGGTATTGATTGTGAACCGAGCAAGCTGCAATTTTTAACAATCTCTATCACAATCTGAAGACTACTGAAACATAAATACGTCCACATATGAACCAAGTCCAAAGCTACCCTTCTCCTGCTCTACAACTATTAAGAGCAGATTCTCTGTGCTAAAAGCAAACTTGACATGATATTTTTCAACACAAAAGACTGCTGTTTGCTGCCACTGAGTGAGCTCCAACTCATGCTAAACACATGTACACAGAACAGAATGCTATCCAGATAATACTATATTGTTATCTATAGAGTTTTCAAAGGTTTTCTTTTTTTAAAAAAAATTTATTTTATACTGGTTTAAGTACAAAGTTCATAAAGTTCATATACATTGTTTTTCACACCAGACATTCCCCTTTCCTATACCAATCCCTCCTTTCACCCAGCAAATTGCGTGACTATGTTTAAGCCACACCACAACCACCTGTCAAGGCTAATTTTCTAATAGATTGCCAGGCCTTTCTTCCTAGTCTGTCTTATTCTATGGGCAATTCTACTGGTATCTGCAATAATGGTAGCCCAGGTTTTGACATCATAGCAACACAACAACTGAGAGACAAGAACACAATCAATTCAAAAGTAAGCTCTGATGTTTGCAGTGTTATGGATGGTGAGTTTTATTGATAAGAACTGTTTTTTTATTGTGGTATATTTCATATGCAACGAAGTGTTTAAATGATTTCTATAATTCAGTAACACCAATTACATTCTTTTTTTTTTTAAATGAAAGCTTATAGACTTTGGATTTCCATTCATTCACAGTTGCACATTTTCCTCCCTGCCCCACCCTCCCCACTTTTTGCTTTTTCCCTTTGAAAGGTAAAAATAAA